CGCCAAAAAAAAAAGAAAAGCAAGAACAAAAAAACCTCGTGGAAACCATAACATCCTTTTAATGCTTGACACTGGCATTAGTCATACAGATCTAAGGAAAAGGAATGACTTGTTATGAGTTAACTATAGAAATCCCAACCATCTTGCTGGTGGAGAATCTCCTCTTTTCTACCTGGCAAACTCCTACTGATCCTGTAAGACCCAGATCATTTATCCCTCCTTGAGGCTTTCATTAACTCCTTCCCCTGCTCAAGGAAATTTGCTCTTTTTTTTAATCTCCCCCTACCTCCTCTCAATTCCTCCAACATTACAAGCTTATGTGCCAAGCAAGTGCATTTAATTCCTCAATACAAGGAGGAATGCTACAGGGTTCATTCATGCCCAGGAGGGACTCACTGACTGTCAGACCTGGCTGACATGTAAATGCGATTACTGCTACACACCAGGACTAGTGCTCCAATGGCGGTGCGCTGTGCAGAGAAATACAGCCACACCTTCCTCTAAGTAGCCCATGAAGCTGTGATCCACTGTGCTCCACCTGCCCCAACAGGCTCCAGACCTACGAGATCAGGAACTGTGCCTTAGTATATACCCCAGCTCTCGGCTCTTGCTGCAGAACATACCACAGAAACTCAATAAGTGCCTATTAACGCAACAGAAAAACAACTAAAAATACACATTGTCATATCAGCGCTGTATAGCTGGGCTTGAGACTTCCAAGTAAAAGTATTTACTTGTGTAACCAACCAGATGGCTGCAATGGGCCCACGCTAAAACTGGAGGACTTTTTTTTAGTAGATGTACTTTTGAACATTCCTTTGGGGACAGGATATTCCAAGCCCAGGCTGACATAAAGAAAGATGCTAACAGGTGAATATGCTGAAACACGGGCTCCAACTTGATAAAATAAACATGGCAAGGCATAGTCCAAGCTCCCCACGCCGGCTCAGAGGGTCTCTGGCTGACCAGAGCAGCTCTGCCCGCATCCCAAGAGGGCTGCTCTGTCTCCAGAAAAACAGCTCAACCTTTTAACAAAAAGAATGGGGATTTTCCTAAATTACTACCTGGAGTCATTTATTTTAAAAAAACAAAAGTGAATTTCAAAACCCTGAATATATAATTAACTCAAAATGTCTCAAATGAGAAACTCTGAGCTACATCCTTTCATCTTTTTTTTTTAACATCCTTTCTTTGAAACCCCTTATGTCCTTCTTAGCAACAAATCAAGCTTAGAAATAAAAATGTATCAAGTTATTTCGGTCATTTCACTGCTGCTTCCTCTCGCCACTGAAGTTTTTTTTTTTTAAACTATAAAACAGTCTATCATGCTACACAAATTGAGTGATACAAATTAAGGGAATCAAAAACTAAAGAACAAAACCACTCATAGAAATGTGCTGTCAAAAATCAGTTGTAAATTACTAATTTAAAAAGCTAACCTCAGTCAGGGCTATCAGTGAATCACTTTATTGCTGTAATCAGTCCTCCTGGACAGTAGCAGAACACCCTGAAAAGCACACGCAGTCCTGGACTGGCATTGCCTGCAGCTGGTTCCAAGCAGGGTCAGCAGGCTGGCCGGATGCAGGGGGCACGTGCCAGAGAGTGACAGCCTACAGTGTAACTGATCACTTATTTGTCTTTCTTTGCATTAAATTATACTTGTGTCAACAGACTCTGCCCTAAGACATGCGTATCAGGTAACAGAAAGCGGCCCTTGATTTGACATAAGGCCTCTATGAAACATTCTAGGGCTTGCTAACAATTACAAACCTTACAGCGAGCAGCAGCCCTGGAACTCTGAGAGGCACCTGTTAGACATCACAGGTGAGGAAGAGGAGATGCCCCAACAGACGAGAACCAATGGGGCTTAAAGAGCATGAGACAATCATCCAACAAAGGTAGGAGCTTCAATCCCTTCCTCCTAATGCCCTGAATTAGGATTACAAGAAACCCAGAGATACGTGCTGAGGGCACCTGTGATTCTCTAATAAGACCCCAACCATCTTGCAAAGGTACCTGTCTAAGACTACGCATCACTTCTAAGGAGAGGCCAAGTACACCATATAATGTAACAATGAATTAGTCTGTTACTCTCCTGTAGTCAGTTCAAATATTTAACAGCTGAGTGTAACAGTCTTTGCTGTACACCTGAAGCTAGCATTGTAAGTAAACCACATTTCAATACATTTTTTTAAAATTTTAACAGCCGTGAAGAGTCTAATGCAAGGAAAACCAGCCCCAGATGATGTTTCCTCTAACCCCCTTCAGACTTGAAAGGATGTCTAATTCTGAGACACTGTAAAGGCTGAGATTTAAAGAAAGCGAGTGATATCGCTCATGGCATGTATCACAAGTCTGCAACAGCTTACGTGTAACTCTGAAATCCAGAAAGGTCCGAAAACGGAAGCTTTATTCACAAGTGTTTAGCAGCCTCTTGGTGGCAAAACACATCTGTCATACTGAGTGCGAGTGTCTCAGGCTTTGCCACATTTTGTGAGTCTGATTACAGGGTGGTGCTGCCAGACCGCACAGGCAGTGTTCCGTCACACACACCTTTACCTTCCTAAAACCCAGACTGTCCAAGTCCTGCAAACCCACCCAGCCCCACGGTTGAAGGCTCTGGGGACCTACACCCTACAGACATTCACAGGGAAAGTGAGCTTTGGTTCCACTGCACCTGAATGTTACCTGACAGAACTGCACCCTGAACTCAAGACCTCACTTAAACAGCACCTCAACTTTGAGTACTCCACGTCCTAGGAAGCGATTGCATAAAACGTGGAAAGCAGATGATAGACTGGGAAGACCTGAAGCCGTGGGGCTGCAGCCTTTACCTGTAATAGATACTGGCCTTACAAAAATCTTGAGAACACCGACATTTCAGGCATTTTAGCCAAAGGCAGGTGAAGGGGGTAGTTTTGCGATTACCTAGAACTTTAGAATAAAGGAAGGCCCTGGGGTTCAGACTGTGCCGTAACCTACCTTGTTATCACTCGGTTTTTCTCCACAACCCACGTTGTTACCGTTACGTCAGACACCAGACTAATTCCACCCTGACAAGGACCAGCCACAGGGGACAAACCAACCCAGTATTATTTTAATTATTGCTATTAGTATCATCACATACTGCCCTAGAGGGCAAAATTCCAATACACTTCACACCTTTACCATTCCAAATCCACCATCAATCCATCTGACAGGAAACACCCAAACCCCAATGCTTTTAACCTGAATCAGCGATGACCACAGGGAACCACTCTCCTCCTAAGCAGCTCTGTGCCGTCTCCCTCTCCCGCTCTCTGAGCTGTATTTGTCCGGAACCCAGGCAGCTAATTACTATTTTCGACAAAGCCCATGAGAACAAAGATGCAAGCCTGCTATTACAGGAAGCACTGCTGCCTGCCTATCTGAACTTCCCCCGAATGCAAGTGACGGCAGCGGCCACTTCATACAAGCCCTGTATCTTAACAAAATAACGCACATTAGTTTTAAAAAAATATTTTAAGAGCATATGAGAAGAGATGGAATAATGGTTGGAGTCAAGCACAGCGCCTTCTAAAGTAAGTATTCCAAGGCAGGTTAAAACAAGATGTGTGCAGCAAGTTAAACTAATTCACGCCAGGCAACAGAGAACGTTGTTACATCCTCATTAATGAACTCAGATTTTAAACACTATCTGCACATTCAACTGCTTTCTTTCAAATACTTTCTGTCCAATTCTGAGGATCAGTGGGGGCACACTGGAACATGACATCATCTGTCTTCAGTTTAACCTTTAAAGTACTTCAGTGAGGTCAGTGGTTTCTTTGTATTGGCTGGTTTTAACACACAGCTTTGGCAGTCGGTTCACCTGTAAGGTCCACTAAGGAGGCACTCACTCTCCAGGGCTGGTGAGTTAGCAGCTGAAAATCTTCAACTAAAAGCCCACACTGCGTGTTTCAACGGCCTTAATCTCTATCATCAGAGGAGTTTTGGTAACTAGCAGAAGGTGCAGTTACTAACGGTTTTTCAGTGGTGAGCTAAGCGCACCTGGACAGTGTCTTTAGGCACCACCCCCCACCCCTCCCCGTGAGATGGGTGTAACCATCCAGCCCACTGCCTGCCCTGGCCGCTTTCCTTCAGGGTGATGCCCACGTGTGCAGAGAGAAGGGGTTTGTGTTTCAAGTTTCTGGAGAATTCTGAGCCCCAAGCAACTTCCAGAAGGTTAGCGGATATTACCACATCTGCCTCCAGAACTCCCTGCGAGGTGCCTGTTGGAGGGCACCAGAGAACAGAGATCCCAGGGCAGGCTGTGTGCCCTGTATGCCAGAACTCATCACTAGGAAGCAGAACCCGGTCCTAGGGGAGCTGCCACCACCCGACACCAGTGTGCAGGGAGGGCTATCTCTGACCACTGGGGTGAACCCTCTTTCTCAGGCGCTCAAAAGATGAGAGCAGCCAAATCAGCGGGGCCACATCCCAGCACTCACAGATGGCAGCGCCTACAGGGAGACCAGGCTTGGGGGGTGGGGGGAAGGGAATTAAGATGAGAAATTAACCAAGATGAATGTCCTTCTCCCAGCCAGGCAGCACCACCTGTGCAGCATCTTCAGGGGCCCAGCCCCGGCCCCTGCTGCAGCCCCCAGGTGTCACAGCCGGCAAGCACGCAGTGCAGCAGCAAGCTCAGGAGCATGCTGCGCCAGTACCTGCGGGAGAAAGCACCGCTTGGCAAGGTGATCTCTCCCTAGACAGGCTTCAGTGGCTGGGGTGACAGGCCCTGAAAGATACCCAGCACACACAGCTGGGAGCAGGGACAGTCAATCACTTCCAGACCTGCAGCACGACTGAGGGAAAAACCGCAGTACCGGAATTCGCATCCAGCACGGCCACTTGCCGACTGATGACCTGGTAGGGCGGGTCCTTTGGCTGCTCCCAAGTCCCAGCGCGCTCTGCCAAGCAGGCCGCCGCGGAGCCCGGCCGGTTCCCATCACCGCCCTCCCCTCTCCGGGCGCGCTGCCCACCTCTGCGCGGAGACCCGTCGATGCTCTCGGCGCTGGACGAGTGCGCGTCGGCTGGGGCCCGACGCATGCTGCTGAAGTACCGCGCGGAC